TCAAAGCGAAAAAGAGACGGCAGGCGAAGGCTTCAAAGGAGCGTAATGACGAGCCTTGATTGTAATTGATGATGCGATTGTCTAATGCTGGATTGGGGTCAATAAATTTCTTTAAACGTGAATTTCTTTGTTCGCAGGTCACGAAGCGATGCCGCATAAGTTTTAAAGTTGGGTGCGCGTGCGCATAGTACACATTTTTGGGGTCAAATCGCGGTGGGGGTGTTCGGTGGTGTTTAGGGAGGGGTAGAGGGTGGTGTGGGGTGAAGTTTGCGGGGTGGCTCTACACGGGGGCTGGGGGCGGCCGGCGCCGGCGCCCGCGCACGCCGCCACCACGCTGGTCGGCGGGCTGGTCGCGCCGCCGCGGGAACCAACCACGGCGGCAGAGGCTTTCTGGAAGATGCCGCATAAAGGTGCGTAAATATGAATCTTCAGCTCTAGAAGAGTTACAACTAAAAATGTAATTTTAAACAACAAACACAAATAAGATCTACAATTCTATGTTAATACGAACAAGAGGATTCCTTAACATTCCAAAGGTTAAACCACTGAACCAGTTTCTTAAATTGGCATACTGGACTATAACTAAACTATTAAACAAAACGAAAGTAAAAAAAAAAACAAAAGAAAAAGACTGGTCTTAAAAAAAGAAACCCATACATTGACACAAGCAAAGCCGCGAACAAACCTTCTTTGACAAGTATAACAGACAAGCGAAACAAATTTAAAACAAGAAATCCTTATGAAAACAAACACTAGAGTCCTGAACATCATTTTTCAGATCACCTATATAACAAACACTAATTGGTAACATCTTGAAAACTCAATAGTTGCCTGAAACTGTAAACTTAAATTTCATAACAAATTATACAGTCTACATCGTTACCGACAAATATTTCATATCGATACAATACAAACTAAAAGTTATTCTAGGTAACAAAGATTAAGTTGTCAAGTTGAAGTTAAGTTATCAATAAGTGTTAACTAGTAAGTTGTTTACTACAGTTAAGTTACAACTATACAAGTTTTCGGTTTACTACGCAAGAGTTACCTAAGTTTGTAGCTTCCTAACTAACTGACTTTGGATTTCGTATTGTTGTTAGTACGATGGATTCTCGATTGAAACTCGATTTGTGATGGAACTTGTAGTATCGATTGTCTAAGCATCGATTTCTTTTTGATTACTGTAGTAGTTTAGGTAATTGCTTTTTTATTCTTGGGAAACTGAAGTTTTATAAACACTCCTAAATATGGTGTTAAAAGAGACAGAGATAGAAACGGGATACTTCTTTATCTAGTTCAGCACTTTGATGACTGTAATGGATGTTTATAAATTCCGATTATATTCAAGGTACTACTGGGTTTTTATAAATTCTCAGTAGTAGCACGGAGTCTGGAATTGTGCCCGGTATATGGCAATAGGCTCACCCCCTATTACATGGGACTCATAACATAAATAGTGAAAAGTAGGTTTTACATTGTACAGTGGCATAATGTACACCTCTGTGATGTTATGTTATGTTTATTCTCAAGGTGCAAAAAATAGGAAAATCTAAAACAATTCACTCAAGTCATCATATTTAACGGTCCTGAATATCACCTACGTATGTTTGCCACAAAGCGTTTGTGGCGAAAACAGAACAAGAATCAACCAAATCAAACCATAAACTAAGAAGCCACCAAAACATAGATAGTACTAACACTAACATAGTCTAAAAGCTGACATAATAGGAACATCAGCTCGAACGCTTACTGACCGGGCAATCTGACTTCACCGCTATGTAGACTTAATCAAGTGCACTAACTTAAACTTAGGTACTACTTAACTCATGCACTACTTGAACTTAATACATAGACCTACGACCTAAGACTTAAGAACTTATTTAGAGAAGAGATATTTGTGTGCAATGAGATAATTCAAGTGGTTGCAATAACAACTGTTGAGTAAGAAGGTTACATGGTTCGATTTGGTTAGAATGTTATTTGATTTTCGATTTTGTTAATGCATTGTATAACTTAATTGCTGTCATTAATTGTAATAGATATTACCTATAGTATTATTGTTAATATGGGCCTTCGTTGCCTGATATAAATAAATAAATAAATAATTTAATCTTAAAAAAAATAAAGGTATTTAATACAATTACGAAAGCAAAAATGAAAGTAACTTAGAACAATTAACACATTAAACGCCATGGGGGTCATCGGGGACCGACGTTAGCAGAGGGTTTGTCTTCAACAATTATCTATTGTCAGCCAAAACCTTAAGTTTGATATAAGTAGTGTGTAGTACAGAAATATAACATAACATAACATCACCCCTTTTATCCCCGAAGGGGTAGGCAGAAGCACATTATGCCATTGTACAATGTAACACCCACTTTTCACTATTTATGTTATGAGTCCCATGTAATAGCGGGTGAGCCTATTGCTAGTACAGAAGTATTAGAGATTTAATAAAAAATTGATGTTTAAATTACAGACAGATCATCAATTTTATTTATAAAGAACTTTCTAAAATACAAAACGATCTACGATACTACACTTAACCGAAAAACTCATCAAAAAGACATTTACAAACTTCGAAACAAGCAAAAAAACTTGAAGAAAAAATAAAAACTATAAAAAGGAGAAAGGATTAAAAATACAGGAGGAGTATAACAATTATTCCGACATTTTTGCTTGGAGTATAGATTGCTCGGTTTAAGGCCGTTCATCTCAGTAAGTTAGCAAGTTTCCAAGTTACCAATTTGCAAGTTAAAGTTGGATGATCTAGGAATTTAACGGTGTTGTAAGTGTAACTGTGTACTAGTGTAACTCTTCTGACAGAAATACTTTTACAGTAATTTTAAGAGCTATGTTGTCAGTGGTTTCGTGATTAGAAGTTTGGTTGTCGAGCTGTGGGACTTAAGTTGGGTAGGCAAAAGTTGAAATCTTTTCTTTTTTTTAAACGTTGTCCTGCACTAAGATTTTCTCCTGTGTCGTGGGTGCGTTTACAAAACATACAAGTTTACATACACATGACACCCAGACCCGAAACAATAATCTGTGGATCACACAAAGAGTTATTCCGTGCGGGAATCGTACCTGCGACACTTTGCGCGGCAGCCAGTTACCCAGCCACCACGCCAATTGTTGCCGACCTTTAATTTAATTGTTTAATATGTAAGTGCCTTACATAACATTCAACACTTTTCATTTCTTATTGTACTGCCATAAACCGAGGATGATTCTAAACTGTATCATTCATGAACATCGGTGACAAAAATTCTAAATTAAAAAATAACAATAAAATGTCCGTCTATTCACTTACAAAAACCAAAGTTATCATCACGAACATCCCCTGACAGTTTTGCAATAATCTCCACAGTTGGCAAACGAGTTGGAGATTGTAATTAAACACACATATTTAGCACTATAACAATATAGCAATCTATAACAGAGATGTAGACCATCTCAGTGGGTAATCTCCACAAGTATTTTACAGACGGCCAAGCGACTTCTCTGTCCAACTTCGCAAGCTGTTAAACTTAATTAACCTTTAGAGATAAATACACTCTGTGCAATACTGGGCAATGAAAAACTGTAAACAAATAAATTTCCTATTTTCCAATAACCAAAATCAACCATTTGTTGTTAATAATGATGTGGGAATAATTTTGTCATAATCTCCACACTTCGCGAACGAGTTGGAGATCGTAAATTAAAATATTATGCCATGGAGATTGTAGACTGCCTTGCCTAGCTGGATGAGTGGTCGCAAGTGCGACTGGGCAAAGGGTCTTAGGTTCAATTCCCGGGTCGGGCAAAGTATTAACGGCTTTTAAAAAAAAGTATCAGTAATAGCACGAAATTGTGGCCGGTATATGCCAATAGGCCCCTGTTACATGGGACTTATAACATAAAAGTGAAAAGTGGGTGTTACATCGTACAGTGGCAATTAAGTACCGTAATATACACATCTGCGGCACCCCTTCAGGGATAAAAGGCGTGATGTTATGTGAGGAGATTGCAGTTCTTCAAGCGCTTAAAAATATAGCAATCTGTAACAGGTATAGAACATTTCTATATCCGTCTTCTCATCTTCTCTATCTTCTCAAGCTCCGCGACTTGTGTCTATCTAACTTTGTAAGCTGTTAAACTTAATTAACCTTTAGCAGCAAATACGCCTTGTGCATCACTACCCTTGCCTTTGTGTGTATCATCAAGTTTCAACTGTTAGGGGTAAACAGAACTGTAAATTACAGTTGTAGGACGATAGAAAGTTGATATTATTAGTGCTTATATTTTAGAAGGTACTTAGGTTTTCTAGACGATTAAGATTTGTATTCAATACTACTTACTTACCAACTAGTCAAATTCAATACTTTTTTTTTCGAACTGTCAAAAACGACAGTTTTTTATGAATTTTGTACGAGATAATGTATTGTGACGTCACGTTTTTGTAGAGTTTAACAGCATACTTATTTCTTAAAAATTAGCTGGAAATATACTAAAATTTTGGTCATAAAATCAATTAATGGAAGCGTGATTATATTTTGATATTTTATTGTATATTAATTTATTCTTGATTAGCTGTGCCCACGACTTCGTCTGCGTGGAAAAGTGATTCACAGCTCCTCTCCCGTAGGTGATAGCATAATAATATGTGGCCAATATGTTGATCCGACCTGTTAGTCATATTCATGCAAAATTTTAAGTAAATCCATGTAGTACTTTTTGAGTTTAGCCCGGACATACATTCAGACAAACAGACAAAAATCTAAAAACCATATTTTTAGCTTCGATATCGCTTGCAGATCACACCCAAAGCATTCTTTTAAAAAAATATTCAATGTACAGTTTTCACTTTCCTACTAAATAGTAAAATATAATATTTTTTTATATGTATAGATGAAGGCAAGTACCTAATTAGCTAGTATCAGAGTACAGTCTCATTTAGCACGTAACTTAGGTATGTAGTCTTTGACTTAATACTTCACCAATATTTTTTCTTCGTTCTCAGATCAGCAGGGAATCATTGAGACTGTCCACTTACGTATGTATTCATTTAAAGTCTAAAACACAATACATAAAACTACACGAAAACAAAGATCTTACAGTCAATGGTTATTGAAATTTATGTGACTATTTAACACCTTTAAGTACCAGGATAGTATAGAAATATAGAATTAGGCATTACCTACATAGGCTATATAAAAAACAGACGGCAAAAATCATTTTAGTTTAAATGCATTCACTTTCATTTCAAAATACCCTTGCAGTAAAAAATATAACCTCTTACTCGAAAGTCAAAGTCAAAATCATTTAATTTAATTAGACCAGCAAGGCACTTTTGAATATCACCAAAAAAATATACAACTGAAGCTAAGTATTAAGCCAACTCAACCGCTTATCAACCATATCTTCGTTACTTCAAATGATTATTTTCCAAATATTAAAAAAAGAACAGTATCTTGATCACCCTCTTGATGTTGGTATTCTAACCACACTCAATCAAGCCATTTATATAACCCAACAGACATCATTTGCACAATCTCTTGACCATACATATATTTTTAAGTGTGGGAGAGCCATGCTTCGGCACGAATGGGCCAGCTCGACCGGAGTGATACCACGGCCTCACAGAAGACCGGCGTGAAACAACGCTTGCATTGTGTTTCGTCGTGTGAGTGAGGTTACCGGAAGCCCAATTACCACCCCCTTTCCCAATCCGTGAATCCCAAACAATCCTCAAATTTCTAATCCCAAAAGGCCGGTGACGCACTTGAAACGCCTCTAGTTTTCCAGGTGTCTATGGGCGACGCCGATTGCTTACCATCAGGTGATCCGCTTGCTCGTTTACCGGTTTATCCCATAAAAAATACATACACAACCTCACGCCTGTGAAACGAAACGATGAAACGTCAATTCTTGCATAAGCTCTTCATCAATTTTCAAAAATTCACGATAATATGACCAAAGTGCATATCTTTCTAGCATCTGATACCCACTTCATTTTAATTAACATAGCCTACTGACTAACTATACTAACATACGAAGTTTACAAGTCGTTACTGCGAACTGACCTTTCAGTAAACACGAGTAAAATGTTTACTGAAGTCGCTTTGTCTGTTTGTCTGTTAGTCACGACGTCTTTTGAGATGTAGTTGCAATGCTAAAATACTTAACGATGGTATTCAAAATTGATGAGACATGAACACAGTATGTGATGAAAGTATAAATATCTATATCCATATAAAAAAACCCCTAACTTTTATATTGTAATCTACAAGGTTCTAACCAAATGTGGAGATTATTGCAAAGTGTAGAAATGTAAACAACAAAATCAATCTATATAGATAAATAAAATTTAACTGTGTGTTTCTAATATTAAAATAACCGCTTTAAGAATTTTTGTCTGTCTGTCTGTTTGTACTGGCTAATCTCTAGAATGGCTGGACCGATTTGACGGGACTTTTATTGGCAGGTAGCTGATGTACTAAGGAGTAACAAACTACTTTTATTTTGGAAAATTTAAATCCTAAAATTCATATTCTACGCGGAACAAGTCGAGGGCAAAAGCTAGTAGCGAATAAAATGAGTCACCAAATAATTTCACAAAATTCAATATTAAAATAGACTACAAACATTTTATAGAGAAACTTATCAACCGATTCGCTAAACAAGAGTTATTTTTGACTACAATTTGAAACTAAAATCGTAAATTGTAGCTAACAATACCTCAATCCATTAAAACGTTGACTTTGCTTGGCATAACAGAAATATAATTATGTTTCACCATAGTGCTACAACGCCAAGCAAACGGAGCATGCGACAATTGTGACACATTAAGCGCCAGATAAAGACAAATAGACCGGAAAAACAGTGGTTGGAAAGGGATAAATATACTTTTCTTTGTTGCTGCACTGTGGGAATTTTAATGATTGAGTACTCCGCTTCGGGCTGACTGTGTCCGATGAAACGCTTTGAATATTCAAATTTTGAATTTAGAATAGGTAGAATATTTCCTGCCAGCATTATGTGTATTAGTTTGAGTTTGTTTATTATGGTTTGATTACTTGGAGTAGGTACATACTAGTAAGTGTTGCAAGCGAAAATATTTTTTTATTTATATGACTTTAGTACAAAATTCACACTAATATTATAAATATGAAAGTTTCTTTATTTAAATGTTTGTCCGTAAATAACGCTAAAACTACTGAACGGATTTTGATGATATTTCTTATACAGGCATTGGTATTGGCTGACTTAGGTGATGGGAACTTACACTTTTTATCCCGATAAAACAAGAATACGGGGGCAAAGCCGCTGGTGAAAGCTAGTTTACCATATTTTTTATTAGATATTAGTGTGATAAAGATGATAAAGATACATAATTTACTTGCTGAGGAATATTAATTTTAAACATTTTTTTTAAATTAATATTCCTAAGTATATATTTTAAACTAAGGGTAACGTCATTTGTCATTAATATCTACTATACTTATACACATCTAGAGTATTTCTTGACCACAAACATCCCCCTAAAAATAAATCGCAATAACCTAATCAGTTACCTAACGGTAAAAATGAATCTTAAACTTTAAACTAGTAAAAACTAAAAACTAGTGACATAAGAAATCCTTTTAACAAAAGCTTAGGAGTTACTTAAAATAGTTTATCTTTAACTTAACGGTACTTTCGGTGACAATTTGCAAAGAACAATGTTTTAAATCCTGAGTAGGTACACTGGTACTATTGTTCTATAAGTTTTAAAACTTTAAATCCTCTTTGTAGTACTGTTTTGTTTGTTTTTGTATATATCTTGTTTTTGCCTTTGAGTCATACCAATTTCTTCAATAAGCATGATACGTTACGTTAAATGCTGCATAGTTTTATGATAAGGTGAACTTTTTAAATGATTTCTAACTTAAACTGTCAAACACCGCGAGGACACCGGTGTCCGCACACCTATTGTTCTTTAATTGTGTCTATAATGACGGTACTCAAGGGTAATAAGTTTTGCTCCTATTATTTCGGTATAAGCTATCCCTAGGCTTACATTTGACTCAATGATGAAGGGAAATCTACGAGATGTGAATGCATTTGACTATTTTTTTTTCATGAACAAGCAAAAGGATGAATATATTATCACTACATATTATAAAACAAAGTCGCTATCCGCCGTCTGACTGTCCCTATGTATGCTTAGATTTTTTAAACTACGCAACGGATTTTGATGCGGTGCACCCGTGCGAAGCCGGGGCGGGCCGCTAGTACAACTTTAAATACAAATACCTAAAAACTAAAATATTTAACTTAATTGCCTTAATTTAAGTTTGGAGATTATGGATAATCTTCGTATGAAGAGGAGGCTTAGCTATAGTTCAGCAGCAGACTGTCACAGACTTTTGATGTAGTCGATGCAAAGTATAACAATTTTCACTGAAGTCATAACTGTGCGCTTCTCACGTAGCTTTCTGACTCACACAGCAAAACTGCGGAATGATCTGACGTCGGCGCTATTTCCGAACCGATACGACCTTCAAACCTTCAAGAAAACAGCGTATTCATTTTTAAAAGGCATCGCACCTGTGACTCTTCTGGTATTGCTCTTCTGACTTCCTCTGGTGTCCATGGGCGGCGCTGATCGCTTACCATCAGGTGATTCGCCTGCTCGTTTGCCTCCTATTCCATAAAAAAATGTCAGTGAAAATTTCTTAGTAAGTAAGTACCTAAAAAGTTTCAATTGACACAAGTTGTGTAGAAATTTAAAAAAATAGATCTATAATCATAAGAATTAATCTAAAAATATTATAAACACATTGATGGCACTCTGCTAAAAACTAAACGCGCTTTTTGTCTATTTATAAAAATCCATAACCGTTCATCTTTCCATAGACGCCTGTTTATCAATGACGGTTTTTTTGTCACGCATCCAAAAAGGGGCGTGGTTGATCATATTCACCATAAATTACGTCATAACGAAACAAAACGTCACACGTGAATAAAGCATTTTTTACGTCAAATGTCATTGAATTTTACGATCGACGCTTTTATAACTTGTATGTTTGACATTAGCCATACATTTTAGTACAAATTTTTTTTTAACTAAAGTTAAGTAGTGCGCGGTCGCGGTGATGTCGCGCAGCCTGCTGGCACTGACCTCGCCGCTACCGCGCACGCTGCTCATGAGGAAGAACCCCTCCGTGGTTCGAAACTAGTAGAGCTTTACTCAGTATATTCACGCAAGTAACCCACGACTTTTAGTTAATTTAGTAGGTATGTCTCACAATAGTTATTATAAAAAAAAAATAGTTCTTCAATTTGAAATAACTGTAAGGATTAATCCCTATGCAGACTTAGATTTAAGTCTATTTCACAATATCAAGTCATTATTCCTGGCGTACGTAACAAAAATACGATGCGTACATTTTTAATTGATTTTAATTCGTTCTTTTTATTCGTAGCCAGCACTCTCCATACCAAACAGGTTTAACTTAAAGTAAATACTCTATGGTAACAGAAATTAATGCGATCCGTTCTGAATTCAAATCGTTTGACAAGCTTCGGCGCATCCAATATGGCGCCTATGCGTTTAGCGTACAATTAAATCTCCCCTATAGATTTAAGCAATTCAAAAACAGATACAAAATAATAATAAGAAGGGTATTTAGGTGGGGGATGCCACCAGGTGTGCTCTCGACAGGGTTGCCACCCTTATGTACTGTCTGCTTGTATGTAAAGTTTGATTAATGTTTAATTTGACGTTTTATCTATTTAACGACAGTTTTCGTGCTACGTTAAGTACATATTAAGGGGTTGCCAGATTAGATTATTATTTTTATTTTTTTAAGATATTCTGCTCTTTGTTGCAATTTATACATTTTTGACGCAGTAATTTTTTCACAGATAAGACGATTATTTAACCTTCTTAGCCTTAGCACGTCCATATTTCAACCCATCTTCATTTAAGGCAACGTAAAATATTCTATGAAATATACTCAATTTTAAACAACACAACGTTCCTACAAAATTCCTGGTCAACGTAAAACACACATCCATTAAAAGTCACAACCAGAATTATCCGCTATAAAACTACGCACACACACATCCAGCACCTATGTACCACTCAATACACACACAGACATACACACACATGAAAAACTAAAAAAATAAATAACAACAACTATAAATGAAATTTATAGCGTCGCACCCATAAAAACGGGGATTAAAAATAAATCGCTCGAATAAATTGCACCTCTGAAATTAAAACACTCCCTCGCACGACATGCGTACTTGCGCCGACAGCGGGTGTGACAATAGACCTTAATATGAGCTGAAGCGGGAGCGATTTTTATAGTTTAAGTAATCGACCTTGAAACTAATGCCTGATACATCGCTAGTGCGTCTTCAATTTTTTAAACTGTGATTCCTAATTTGCTAGACTTCTCCTAAAGTGTAGAGATAAACTGGAACCATAAACTTTATAGTATGCGTAACTTAAAGAATTTGTACAAAACTTCAGCGTCTAACTCAACAGCTTCATTACCTTGACTAATCATACATTTTTCAGTCCGATTAATTGATATTCAACTTAAGTTGTTATGAAGAGAAACTTAGAATGTTTCTCATAAAAAAGCAACTGTCAAGTGCGTTTAAGAACAATAACATACGTCTTTTTGAACACATTACTGTTTACGTCACCTAAACATAGGTACTGGTACTGAGTAACGAATGAAGTTTCTTGCTCATTCTTCTCCATTCGAATCTACATTTTGGAATGAGCACCTAGCTCCAATGACGGACTGACTGGCAGACTATTATTTATTTTGTATTTGTTGACGATTTAATAGTACCAGATTATGGTTTAATTGACATAAATGCTTTGACTTTGAATTTGGTTCAGTCATAGACAACCATTAAACCTTCAACTTTGAATGTCAATCAATTTCCAAATTGTCACAAAACGCTCCCGCTATCTCCTGTAATTTGTCGTAACCCGGGCGTAGGGTGGGCGTACGATTGTCCATTGTTCTTTTAACGTGCGCTTGTTAGCAGGCCGCGGCAAGGTGAGCTCCAGCCACGATTAACAACAGCGACGCGACAACTTGCCACTCGAGAGGCACACTTAATTGGCGAAGGACCTGTGGTTATTAATTTGTTCGGAAAAGGCTAGGCTTGGATGTATTTTAAATTTATTTTTGAGGTGCGGTGTGGTGTTGAAATGTGTTTGTAGAGAGGATGTAGTATTTATAGCCTGAGCTGAATGCCTCTAAAAGTAGTTGCAGTTCTGAAACCGAATTAGGTTTTCAATTCCCATCTCACATTTTTATGCCATCTGCATCTGAAAATTTTAATCAAAGCACATTGCAGAGACACTAATAACATTAGTTACTCGCAAAATAAAGAAAAAAAAAACAAAAAAAAAACCAAAAGCCGATCGCTCGCGGATTCGATGCACGAACTACGAAAATTATATACGAGACGAGACGAGACGAACCGCAGAAAAAAAAATTGACGGGACAAAACAATGAACTTAAGCCCCCACCCTTTAGGGCCTTAATCAAGGGCCTGGCCCAAATTCGCCCACAAATTGCATCCAATTGTTCACTTTTTACTGGGTGTTTGTGAGGGGTGGATAAAAAGAATTGTCAGACCAACGGTTGGGCTCATCCGATCTAATGCACTCCTATTGAAGATTATTGGCTTGTAAACAGCGTGGTTATAATTGTGGACGGACCAACCGTCTAATTTGATGCCCGATTAAAGGATGCAGGGCCTACTAATTGGGATAAATACATTAACAATATTCTTTTTATTTTTGTGAATCGCGAAAACTCAAAATATCCATTAGAAGTGGGAGCTAGTTATGGATCTATATGTTGTTACACAAATCAAAGTTACTACACGTCATAGTGTTTGAGTATTTAAAGTAAATACGTTAATTGAAACAGTTGGTTATAAATGTATAAAATAGGCCTCACGTAACTTGATCAAAAATGAAATAGGTATATTCTTTACAGTTCCCTAGCGTTTGAATGCGTAATACTCGTAGAGAAACGGTACAAAAATCTCAAAGTAAAAAACGACAATAACGGTCCACACAAACAATGAAGGTAAAAATATCATCGTATCTCCGAAGATTAGATAAAAATTGTGGTTTTCTATCGTGTACCGCGAAACCCTTTTTTTATTAAAGATACTTTTCGCAAAGCGGATTATTTTTTCAAAACGGGTTAATGTTTTTTGCGCGGATATGAAAGACGGCCACAGAACCAGCAATGGGTTGCGTAGATATTATCTAGTAGTTATAAAAGGATGATTCTATACACGAGGATGGCACTCAAGTAAAAATTGAGGATGCATCGAATATTCAAGAGGTGCAGATGTGAAGTTTCATTGTCCAAATCGATTAAAAGATCCTTTTCATCACAGAAATAGGCGAAATATTTGCTATATCTACGGACAATACTTGAACTTGTAGGGAAGTATTACGAATTGTAAGTAATAAGAAGATGAAATAGGACACGGTGGAGCTTTCATTAAATAATTTTATTTACCCTGTCTTCTGCTAAACACCAGTTAAATGATACCTTCCATTGCAGATGAGCTGATGCATAGCGCGGCAATGGGGGGCGGAGCCCTATTTGGGTGCTCCTCAGCCGGCCATAGTGGCATCAACCAACTTGGCGGAGTGTATGTCAACGGCAGGCCGCTGCCAGACTCCACGCGCCAGAAGATCGTGGAGCTGGCGCACTCGGGCGCGCGGCCCTGCGACATCAGCCGCATCCTGCAGGTCTCCAACGGCTGCGTCTCCAAGATACTCGGCAGGTCTGTTGGTTTTAAGTGCCTTTTGTCATGTTATAGTGATGTGGTTCAGTTTTTTGTAGTTTGAAACTTTAATTGCAACTATAGAAATAGGCATGATGTTATTGTTCTTCGTATGTCATTGTTCACCTCGATCCAATAATTCATTTCAAAAGCTTAACGTAAATCTACAGATCAAGAGCCGTGGATGAAATTTCTTTTAAAACGATCATTTAAGCCCGTAATACCTTTTAACAGTATAATTCGAAATTTTCAAAAATATATTTACTCGAAATCTTAAACCTTCATAATCGCTCTTCGGCAACTCGTTATAATAGAGCTTTTATATAAATTTCAAGGTCTACAGAACTCACCCTGAGATAGAAAATTACCGCTACACAAAGAGCATCATCTATCATAAAGTCTGACACTACTGAATTACTTACAACCCACCAAATGACACTTTTCATTTAGAAATGTTTTATGATAAGAACATATTACTTGAACTTCTCATTTTCTCAACGTTCACTGTCAATTCAAAAGAAAGGCCTAATTCATTGTAAAGTTCATTCAGCCACCGTGTTACTGAAGAACAAGCACCCATAACAATTAAAACGAATACTATTACACGAATAAACGAATTATTTTACACAAAACCCATTGTGAGCCAACAAAAGTTAAAGAATCGATTATGTCTAAGTGCGATGGGGTCAAATTCTTTCGCCACGCGTTAGCAAATTGATGGAATTCCCATAATACCGCCCAAGGAACCGCACAATGGTGTCGACAAAGCTGTCGTGGACAAAATTAAGGAATATTTCAATGACTTAATCAATACAATAGTTTGAGTTTGCATTCCCATAGTGTATTGTTTTTGTTGAATAGTTGACGTGTGCACTGCGGGGTGCTAGGTGGGAATCGACATCGGGTGCCTGCCGTTGGGGTGCCGGCTCTAATTTCGACGGCAATTTTATTGTTTGATTGCGATTTTATCTGGAGATCGCGGAGGATTTCAGCCCTCCGGTCGAGTGCTTATTGAAATGCCGGCAGTGAAGTATTCGTGTTAATCGTAATGGAATTGTTTTCGTAATGGTTTTTAAATAACTGATTTTGATAATCCACGCGAATCCGTTACAGATGTGCGTGTACTCATTGATAGCAGGCTGTATTCTTGTAACAATATTAGATCGTTACTATTAATAAGGAAACAACTTTTAACGTAACGAAAGTCGTTAAAAGTGTGTCACACTAAACATTTAACTTGAATAACACATTCATTCAATGGGAACCGAAAAAAGTCAAAAGTCAATCAAACAATAAAAACGCAGACGTCAATCAAAGAACTAGACTCATTTTAATATAGGGTGTGCCTTACAGGGCTGTCCCACGACCGCCCCTAAATAAAAATCAAAATAAAAACATTATTTTCTAGTAATTGGCACCCCTACTGAGGGAGACGGCTTGACGCCACTTCAAGAGATCTTATAGGAAAAATAAATTTGGCTCAGAGAACCCTATAGTTTCACCCTGTGGGCACATGCTATTATTTTGTAATGTTTTGCTTGTTAATATATTGACGAAACAAGTTGTTTTTGTGGGAAAAATATTTTCTATTGTTTGCTTTTTGTTTGACTGCGGTATTTCTTTATACTTCAGTGTAGGTTTGAATACAGATTATGTCTGATTAATATTTACTGTCGATATGGCATCTTGTTGATTACGAAAAACATCCGCAATATCATAACAGAGATAAGAACTTAGTGAGTTGGCAGGCCCACGAGGTCAAGAATGAAAATCACAGTCTGGTTTGTCTAAACGTAATAGATAATGTTATCAATCAATAATGAACAGTATAAAAGAACGATCTGAACAGTATTAAAGTAATTAATAAACAAACCATCATCGAGAACGTATTGAACACGAACATGTTCGCAAACAAAGTGGTGTTAGTTACGGGTGGAAGCTCCGGTATCGGCGCAGCTGCTGTAGAATTATTTGCTAAAGCTGGAGCTTCTGTTGCCTTCGTAGGAAGAAACGAAGCTAAACTAAAAGATGTGACAATACGCTGCGATCAACTAGGAGCAAAATCCCTAGCTATTAAAGCAGACATATCAAAAGAAGAAGAAGCAAAGACAATAGTACAAAAAACAATAGACAAATTCGGTAAACTGGACGTGTTAGTCAACAACGCTGGCATATTCCGACTAAAGAGTTTGTTGGACCCGGATATTTTAGCAAATTATGACGAAACTATGAACACTAATCTGCGACCTGTTGTACACATTACGAGTTTAGCTATCCCTTTTCTCATAGCAAGTAAAGGTAATATAGTAAACGTATCCAGTGTTGCTTCTACATCATCTAATACACCTGGACTTATGTCCTACAGTGTCTCAAAGGCTGGATTGGACCATTTCACAAGATTTGCTGCATTGGAATTAGCTCCTTCAGGCGTTAGAGTTAACTCAGTAAATCCCGGACCAGTTTTAACTGATATCATTATTGGGTCTGGTTTTCCAGCTGATGCGTTGGAAGAAGCTGGTACTCATACACCTTTGGGAAGGTCTTCGGAGGCTGGAGAGGTTGGTGATATTATTGTGTATTTGGCTAGTGATAAGGCGAAGAGTATTACTGGCTCGTGTTATGTTATTGATAATGGTTTTCTATTGAAGTAGATTTTATGATTGAGAAATTTTTAAGGGCTAATTTGTAAGGGATTCTTGTAATGTATAATAAACTCTAGGGTCAGGCTATGTTTTTATTTTATTCAGTTTTTTCTGATAGCCAAAAATCATTTACACGTGTTGCCAAAATACTGTTGTTGTTGTTGTTATGGAATGACATTTATTTCGCAACTCATCATGACATGATAAGTTTGTAAATTATTAGTGTTCGTGTCAATATCTGATAAGTAGTTATCATGATGTTCAAACTTCTATGTCTATATTTAAATTTCTTATCTAACAATGTCAATAGGTATATTTCTTAATTGTTTATCAGTATCTTATAATGCGCAATTAAATTATGTAATTAGATGATTGTGATACGTAATGTGATTAATTGAAAACTTTATAGAAACAAGCTGTAATATTCTCCATTCGAAATAATCTGATAAACAGAACATAAGAAAAAATGTATGTATTTAAGAAAAATGTAAGTACATAAATTTTAAAATGACACTGGGATTTGGTCAAAATAAATATGATGTTACAAAACAAAAAAATTAAAATATATATTTATCCATTTTCCCGCAATACCAAGCCGGCTGCAAGTGCCTATATCGTTCTCACACACCCCTGGACATTCTTATCGTGCCAATTACTGTAGAAAAGGGGTTGAAAAGTGTTCCTTAGGGCTCGCATAGAAGGGCAAGCGTAGCGGGACTCCTAATTACGAAGAGGTCCTGCTGTTCACTCACATTTGACGGCAATTCTCTGTATCTAGGGAAACTTCTAGATCAAGGATAAACCTTATTTGTAACCAATTAAAGATTAAAATCAAGATAACGAAACAAAAGACTTGAAGTCATTGGAGATGAAAATGCAAAGAATAATAAATGAGTTAACAGCTTTTTGTTAAAATGCAATTTTAAGTAAGAGCTCCCCGTGACGTATCTTCAATAGGGCGCACGTAATTCGGTTACGTTTAAATAACCACTTCAAAAACAATCTCAGATAAGTACTTATTTGTTGCCCTCGAGCCTATCTGCACTCTAATCTTCAAACCCCTGATGAAGTACATAAATTTTCGCATTTACGCATCCATTGAATATTCAAAATGGATTGCAATATTGCTAACGTTCTGAGGAACAAGCAATGGAGTTGAAACAATGAATTTACATTGGTCGAGTCACCGCAACGTTTTGGGATGATCGGCACTGATTTCGATCAATTTATTATTGTTTGATGCAGTAATTGCTCGGTTTGGCGACAATTTGTTTGCAATTTCTGTTGCGTTTGTGGCCAACAATTTAGTTACTTGATCAAAGTTTGCTTTTCGATAATGTGTATTTAATTGTGGAGATTTCATTACAGATATATTAAGGGTAATTGCAATTGTGTAGTTGTGGTATCATTTTTGTGCACTGTGCGACTACCATTTATAATTATTTACCTACGAAAAGTTTAAAATATTTAAATGGATTCAATGTTAAAATGGTGTTCGCACACAAGGCTCATGTTTAAAGTCACGATAAAAACAGTAAATAGAATACGGGTATCTTTTTGCTTTTTTTTCATTCATAAAATCTTTCTCCACTTCCAATAAATTGTAATCCAAATTTCAAACACTCTTCAAACCTTTCATTTTCATAAACCTCCCATTTATTTACCTCATCCATAAAACCCTCTTTTCACCACTGTTTACCAAAAGCACAACACATAATCAAAGTTCGTCGAACTTAAAGTTCTCAATTAAAAAGCAGTGAGCTCCCTCGAAACGCCCTTTGCGAAAATCGCCCAAGGCGAAAACGATTACAAGTCGATGGGGACCCAAAAATGCGGTAAATGCTTATCGAAAACGCCTAAATAAATATATCATTGATGACAATTTCGATAATCGCCGTGTTTGTTATTTGTTGCTACTGGAACTATGGTTATTATTGTGTAACGGTTTTCTAAATGCTTTGTTTGATTTTGGTGGTTATACGAAAGTGATTTTGTAACTGTAGATGACTTCTCAATCAAAATATGTAGTCTCTAGAGAATTTTTCTAAAGGTTATGGTTCTTTTTTAATAGTATTACTATCATTTAATGGCTGAGTTAGATATATTGTAATGCTTTGTTTATCGATTGTTGCTATAACGTAATTATATTTTTGGTCTTTATCTTGTTGCATGTGTTTCACTTTAATTACAATTAAGTTTATCAATTTTTTTCTTTTGCACCTACATATATGAATATTTAGTTTTTTATGATTGTGTATTCCATTTTTACCTTTGCGTGATCTACTATTGTATTAACTCCGTCGTTGGTTTCATCTTTAGCCAATTCTAAAACTTTCAATCTACAACAAAGGCTATTAACATGGAACTACACAATTCTACCTCCATCTGCCGTCAATACTAACACATTCGATTCAAGATCCGAAATATCGACACATGTCTATCTCATAACAATACATGTTTCAAGTACATCCGATATCCAAGTCCCAAACTCCACACAAGACAGGGAATTAAAAACCCTACCATCATCTACAGAAGGTATAATTTACGACAATGTTAAGGGAGGACAATCAAACAGAATTTGGCAACGTTTTGTATAGGTACTTACTTGAAGTTAAGGGGAAGCTAGAGATTATGTTTGTAATGGCGGTTTAATAGTATTTTAGTTGAATGGGGATGTTTAGATAATTTGTAGTAATAATTGTAGGTTTGGTAGTTGTTTTTGCTGTACTTGAAATATTTTTGTAAAAAGTGTCACAACAAACAACCACTGTCAGGATTTTTAAGAAAATTAAATGCAAGCATATAAAATGTCAAAGCTTAGTATCACTGCATGCATGCAAAATGCCGTATGTTTGTTTATAGCTCCTTTAACTAATATTTATGACAACATCAATACAAAAATCAAACTATAAAGAAGTTCTTTGTGAATTGTATTGATTCATTAACAAAACATGAACATGAACTCAGGTGATTAAAAAAACACTAAACCATGACAACTAAATAAAATCTCACTACAACAACTTCATGCTAACAAATCAACCTATTAAGTACTAACCAACACAAACTAGACCAAACACACGAAGCTAACGAACAAGAATAGAATCCTTGAGCAAAAAACTATTAGCTCACTAGTCCTTTTCATTTTCCAAACTAAATTCAGCTTTGCACGCAGATATTACGAGACGGGGTCAATAAAGCCCCGAGCGATTGGCGGGTCTAAACCGAGAGTGGCCACGACACCCGTGGTCCAGAAGATAGCTGACTACAAGAGGGAGTGCCCCTCAATCTTCGCGTGGGAGATCAGGGATCGTCTGCTGAGCGAAAACGTGTGCAATAATGACAACATTCCTAGTGTGAGTAACATTTTTTCTATTTTCTACGTCTAATTTAGCATATATCTTAAAGACAGTTCTGTAGTGGAAAGTATCTAATACCAATTTTACTGGGACATCGGTTATATCTTAAAGTGCATCAACTACGACACTATGCAGAAAAGCATTATCGTTATCTACATTAATCTAATCAGTTTCTTTAAGAACTTCCACTTCAGTCATGAAATTTTCTTCCTCTTTAATATCATTAGAACGTCTTATAAATTGATTTTAATCTATAAACGAAACTTGTCTATAAATAAACGTTAAGATAACAATATCACTGTTCTTGGACATATATTGTTATTCTGTTGTTATTTAGACAAAATGACTAAAATAATATTTAGGTAGGTGCCAAATTACTTGCACTATCTTTACTATCAATTTTATCATAAACATAAAGTCGATCAGATTATTTGTTAGTTCAACGATCGACTAGATATTACTAATTACTTTTAGGTATATTTTCAATAAGATATAAATGAACTGTAATGATGCTGACGCAATTAGGAACTTTTGCCTAACATTGCAATAAAATTAGAAATTGAATTAGATTTAGGTTATGTTAATAATAAAAACAACAATGAATGATAGATACCATTCAAAACAGATACGTTGACACGTCAATCAAGCTGTAACTATCGTCCCACACGAACAACGAACAACAACGTCAAAATATTATTGGCAATTCGATCTATCTTATTAAAATTCAAAAACATATGCTCAAGTACCCATTGTGCAGCCCATCAAAATAATCTGGACAAAGTTCGGTGACAACAATTCTCCTTTTAATCCAATTTCGCAATTTTACATCTTAGGACCATATGTTTCGGACGGACGCGGGCCCATTGTCCGAAATCTTTTCAAGATGGCCTGTGTTCCCGAACGGTCCGTCCTGTTATTGATGATGGCTTATAAAATTTTACTTCGGTATGTTTGATGCCGTTTTATTAGGTTTTTGTATGGACCCATACAAATACTCCCTATTATATGGACAGTTCATAAATTCTTCTATTCCATTTTTGCTATTAGTTCTATCAACTTTTATGTCAATAACCAATTGAATGCTGAATTGTGTTCTGGTAATATTGAGCGCTCAAAGAAATGTGAAGAATTGTTAAAGATAGACTATTAATCGGTGCAATAATAGTTACCTTTCTACTTCTAGCATCATCATAGTTACAATGAATATTACCATATGGAAGATGTTAACAAAGACAGAAATCAAATGTAGAAGATATTTTATATCAAAAACTAAAAACATGCGTGCAATAAATCTAGGGCATAGAAACTAAAAAAAATATGACACCACCGAGTTGCAATTACAAAAACATTATAAAATCCATGTAGAGTAACGAGACACGGCAACATTCAACCCAGCAATTAATGAGAGAAGTAAAAAAATATAAAAACTTCGATTCTCTGCGAAAAATATCACGTACAAGATATAAAATAAAGCCATTGGTGAAGTGACATGGTCGGTAATCGAACCTGACGGCTGCAACATCTGCCCGGCCAATCATGGTAAAAAATAACAAAGTGAAAATTTTGTATTTTTAAGGATCTACACGTTAACTTATGATAGGGAATCTATTAACGATAAAAATATTAATAGTTAGTACTATTAGTTTTTTTTTGTTTTGATACTTTGAAAAAATAAAAGATTGATGAAGTCTAGAAAGAAAAATATTAAAAATAAACCAATAATAATAATTTATCATTCATTTTAAAACTAAAAAAATAACAAATAATTGCAGTGGTAGGAAAGGAATTGATAAAAAAAACACACGATGTCTTTCGATAGCATCAAACTAATTTTTCTGTTAATAATGTCACAATCGAAAATATAATGTTTTGTGAACACGATCCGTGGCACAAAGTAAACACTTGGTGACACAATGGCAAAGAAAAAAAATCTGTACCCTCGAGCGTTGACAATCGAAAATGTTGGTTTTGTGGATATATTACATTATCTGCAGGGGATTTATCATCCTATTGATATAAAAGGTGCAAAATTACCCATTAGAAACATTCTTCGTTTTACGTCCAATAATTTTTCAAATAAAACTGCTCTTTATTAAAGAACTGTCCATCTAAACAAGACTTCAAAACAATACAAGCCATGAGGTATCCAAATACACTACATTAAAGTCAGACAGTAACAGATTCGTTGTCTATAAAGCTAAGGAATTCCTCTGCGAACCCCAAGTACATCAGACTGTCTGCTACATAAAGCCGTACCTATAACTAATCATAAAAATACCTACATTATCCACCCTACGTAACAAGAGGACACAAAATCGAAATACCGAATACCCCTAGAAGATTCGGCGCCAAAGGGGCTATTTTTATGACTGTCGTACCTACGCACTCGGCCCACTGGGCAAATAGGTGAAAGGGACAAGCCAATAGGTCCACACACGTGTTAGAGTGGGACAGATATATGTCGTGCGTTCCGCTGCCTAGTCATAACGGTCGAATGGGCGTGATGTTTCTTACCAACTAAAAGCGGACAAAAATACGTGGAACAATCGATTATGGCTCGGCGGCAGAACGGTGTAAGTGTACAAGTGTCAGAGAGGCTTATGTGACGTCGCCACCGCCGCAGCCCGCACCGCTTACTGAGAATATACTTAGTTGAATATCGAGGATTTGCATATCAGGTGCTGTTTTATCGGCACGCCACTGTACTCCGAGAATAGTTTTAAAGATGTTAAATATAATTACTGCAAGTTTCAAGATATAATTTATACAGCAGATAAAAATAACAGTTCTGTTTCGTACCTACGTGAGTTTTGTAAAGAAAACTTCCAAAAAAGAACTTTGATAAACTTTTGTTCGAGACTAAAGCTTTATGTTAGACATCAAACGAAACAACTTACAGCAATAGGTGTACTTACATAGGTATTCCTTACTTATGAAAATAATTCAATTGCTGAAAACAAATTCTCAAAAGAGCGCCGCATACTTAGGCCGCTTTTCTCCCAGGGCGCTATACAATAATTCCACGTTTACGCGTGAATGCACAGAATATTCGATATCTCTTTCACACTTGTGGTTATGCTGTAAGGATCTGCAGCGAGTTGTATCGCTGCCCTTGTCTCGCGGATTAACGTCAACTGCTTATGATGGCATAGAAATTGACGGTTTTAAGTCCACTGATATTTATGATAATGTAAGGGTATTTTATAGAGGGGAAAGGGAATCACTTTATGTAGTATACAAGAAACATGGACCCTGTTTTGAATAATTTCATTAATATATATATATAAGTTAATAGCTTGAAACAAGAGAAACAAAACACGCTAAAAGCCTGTCTTAAGATTATGTTCATTACTGTAACCTAAATAGAACAAACAGGATTATTCCAGTCTCTATTTTTTTATAAAATTCAATACGAAAATAATTGAAAAAAACAAACGAAAACAATAGCTCCAAAACCGCAGAACACGAAAGCGGCAAACATCGGCAATCAACAGTTGCGCTCAAGGACCGTTAAATACGATTTGGAGACATCTAATTTAAATTTAGAATTCATGAGTTCGATCGAGCGAAGCGCGCCGAGGCGGCTGATTCTGTCGATTTGTTGAAACTAGATCGAACGTTGCGAGACCGAATTTTTATTCCGAACAAACGCTCATGATTAAAATAAATAATTGTAAATGTTATAAAAACAACGCCAACCTACAAACATTTCCTTGACAAAACAATCAGTCGATAACTTCAAACAAAACCTAAATAATTCACATGAAACGCTAACTGTGAACCAAAATGCCTACGTCTAGAAATAACTGCTAACATAAACACAATTTAAGTCTCGTTAACTTGAAAATAATTTATAAACTACCAAACTTGTAGCTGTCAGAATTAGCCCGGGAACTTGACACCGCCGAAACGCTACTGTGAGGCATTTCGGAGGCTTCGTACGTATTATGTGGCGTATGAACGTTCTCGTTTTCGTTTACACGCAATACTCTTGTAATTGGAGACACATTTAAGTTCAGTTTTGGTTAAAGTGTCGAAGGACGACGCGTTAACATTTTTTCGGAAAAATATGGGTAACATTGTAAACTTATGTACTATACTCTGTTTTAGTAATTAGGTACATAGGTTAACAATAAATAATTTTAACATATTATTCCTGCAAAATTTAGTCCTCGATTGTGCGCAAAAATTCTTTTTTTCATAATCTGTTACCACCTATGTTACATGTATCTAACACAAGGCACTATGATGGAACATACATAATTACATTTTCTGGGCTGAAAATCAAAATCAGTGCCTAGGAACAAAGTGTTCCAAATTAACGCACAATTATTAAGCACACATACGTAATAATTTTAGATATTCATTTAACACTATGTCTAAATCTAAAATTTTGTAAACTAACTAAGGTCAATGACAATTACCACACACAAAAATATAAGTAGAAATTGATCCAGCAATTATTTTCGATTACAATACGGTATTTAAAACAAGGACAATAGTCCCCACAGCCCTTTGTCACACACTGTTACTCACACTTACACTGTGCTCTGTGACATATTCGGTACTTTAACAGGCGTTCCTCAGGGGACTACATTCGGTCCCATAATGAGAATTGAGATAATTTATCTAGTTATGAATCAGTGAGGTTATCTATTTGTCTTAAATGGGTAATTCAAAAATCTCTTTTAATTAATTGTTCTCAAATATTTGAAGTAATACCGAAATAACATCAATGTATGTCATAAATATTATTACCTATTACATTATTATTTTACTTCCTTAGCCAAACCAATGTTTAGATCTAATTCAGTTCATACATCGCAAAAACTATCCACAATTTCAACACCAAAAACCCACTTCAATCTAAATCACCGACAACAACTTAACATCCATAATGAACTGAGACAGACCGCCCCAATCTGTGCGCCCTAAGAGAATTGCAAAAAATCGCCCCTGCAACCGCACCCTACAATCGCTTTTCACCGGGGAATCGA